AAGGAAACATTAAACATGGTGGAAGTGAAAATATTGCAGTAATATTACCAATGTAATGAGTGAAACACATGCACGTTTCCCCATATGCAGCATTTTGGTGTTAATTGGCTGCAGTTAATGTGTGTCACAGTTGTCATTGAGTGTTTAACATGTTCAACAGTTCACATCAATGATACGCAATGACTGTATCCGCCATCTGGTTACGTTGCTCGATATCATTTTAATGAGTGTAACTGCAGTTTCTAAAAGAAAAAGTAGTAATAAACATGTAATGTTGTATCTCGCTCAGATGACACGTACACCATGACGATCCGCGACAACATCTGTCCGTGCAGTACGAGCCAGACCGACAGCGCACCTGTGGAGTGAGGTTTTACGCCGTTTGTTGTGCAGTTACAGACGCATCGTGACTGGGACATCAAAGCTGGATTTCATGCACTGCTCTATCAGATTGCTTCGAGAAGACCCTTTGGCTTGATGAACGAACGCTTTTAGCACTCGGACACATCATCAAATGTTACACACGTGGACATAGTGGCGACAGTATGGGCTTGTTGTTTGACGCTGCGTTCACAGCTGTATGGCAGCTGTCTGTTTTAAGTTTGATATTCCAGCTATATGACACCGGTCTGTTGGTAGAAGAATCAAGACCAGAAGATCATGAGTGAGTGAGTGAGTTTAGTTTTACGCCGCACCAGCAATATTCCAGCTATATGACGGCGGTCTGTAAATAATCAAGTCTGGACCAGACAATCCAGTGATCAACAGCATGAGCATCGATCTGCGCAACTGGGAACCGATGACATGTGTCAACCAAGCCAGTGAGCCTGACCGCTCGATCCCGTTTGTCGCCTCTTACGACAAGCATGGGTTACTGAAGGTTCATTCTAACCCGGACCATTCAACACCCGTGAAGTTAAAATTGGTCTTCAGTAACCCATGCTTGTCGTAAGAGGCGACTAACGGAATCGGGTAGTCAGATTCGTTTACACATGCCTTTGTATCCCAGTTGCGTAGATCGATGCTCATGTTGTTGATCACTGGATTGTTTGCCTGGTCCAGGCTCGATTATTTACAGACCGCCACCACATTGCTGGAATATTGTTGAGTGCGGCTAAACTCACATTGGTAAGATGGAATTCAAATAATGATCTTCAAGTCTTAGCAGTTCAGGCATCAGGCAACCCGGCAACATTAACAAGAAAGCATGACCTACGTATACTCCGTTGCGTTAAACAACAAACCTACAAACCAACTTGAAGGCCAAATCAAACCAAGACTCATGCTTCATTACACTACAGTCATGACTGCTTCATTAAATAGCTGTACACCACTGTCATGAGTGTTTCATTACATAGCTGTACACTAGTCATGAGTGCTTCATTACATAGCTGTACACCATCGTCATGACTGTTTCATTACACAGCTGTACACCATCTTCATGACGGCTTCATTACACAGCTGTACACCATCGTCATGGCTGCTTCATTACACTGCTGTACACCATCGTCATGACTGCTTCATTACACAGCTGTACACCATCGTCATGGCTGCTTCATTACACAGCTGTACACTATCGTCATCACTGCTTCATTACACAGCTGCACACCATCGTCATGACTGCTTCATTACACAGCTGCACACCATCGTCATGACTGCTTCATTACATAGCTGTACACCATCGTCATGACTGCTTCATTACACAGCTGTACACCATCGTCATGGCTGCTTCATTACACAGCTGTACACCATCGTCATCACTGCTTCATTACACAGCTGCACACCATCGTCATGACTGCTTCATTACACAGCTGCACACCATCGTCATGACTGCTTCATTACACAGCTGTACACCATCGTCATGACTGCTTCATTACACAGCTGTACACCATCGTCATGGCTGCTTCATTACACAGCTGTACACCATCGTCATCACTGCTTCATTACACAGCTGCACACCATCGTCATGACTGCTTCATTACACAGCTGCACACCATCGTCATGACTGCTTCATTACACAGCTGCACACCATCGTCATGACTGCTTCATTACACAGCTGTACACCATCGTCATGACTGCTTCATTACACAGCTGTACACCATCGTCATGGCTGCTTCATTACACAGCTGTACACCATCGTCATCACTGCTTCATTACACAGCTGCACACCATCGTCATGACTGCTTCATTACACAGCTGCACACCATCGTCATGACTGCTTCATTACACAGCTGCACACCATCGTCATGACTGCTTCATTACACAGCTGTACACCATCGTCATGGCTGCTTCATTACACAGCTGTACACCATCGTCATCACTGCTTCATTACACAGCTGTACACCATCGTCATCACTGCTTCATTACACAGCTGTACACCATGGTCATGACTGCTTCATTACACAGCTGCACACCATCGTCATCACTGCTTCATTACACAGCTGTACACCATCGTCATCACTGCTTCATTACACAGCTGTACACCATCGTCATGACTGCTTCATTACACAGCTGTACACCATCGTCATGGCTGCTTCATTACACAGCTGTACACCATCGTCATGACTGCTTCATTACACAGCTGTACACCATCGTCATGGCTTCCTCATTACACAGCTGTACACCATCGTCATGGCTGCCTTATTACACAGCTGTACACTAGTCATGACTGCTTCATTACACAGCTGTACACCACCGTTATGACTACTTCATTACACAGCTGCACACCATCGTCATGGCTGCTTCATTACACTGCTGTACACCATCGTCATGACTGCTTCATTACACAGCTGTACACCATCGTCATGGCTGCTTCATTATACAGCTGTACACCATCGTCATGACTGCTTCATTACACAGCTGTACACCATGGTCATGACTGCTTCATCACACAGCTGCACACCATCGTCATGGCTGCTTCATTACACAGCTGTACACCATCGTCATGACTGCTTCCTTACACAGCTGTACACCATCGTCATGGCTTCCTCATTACACAGCTGTACACCATCGTCATGGCTGCCTTATTACACAGCTGTACACTAGTCATGACTGCTTCATTACACAGCTGTACACCACCGTTATGACTACTTCATTACACAGCTGCACACCATCGTCATGGCTGCTTCATTACATAGCTGTAGACCAGTCATGACTGCTTCATTACACAGCTGCACACCATCGTCATGGCTGCTTCATTACACAGCTGTACACCATCGTCATCACTGCTTCATTACACAGCTGTACACCATGGTCATGACTGCTTCATTACACAGCTGCACACCATCGTCATGGCTGCTTCATTACACAGCTGTACACCATCGTCATGACTGCTTCATTACACAGCTGTACACCATCGTCATGGCTTCCTCATTACACAGCTGTACACCATCGTCATGGCTGCCTTATTACACAGCTGTACACTAGTCATGACTGCTTCATTACACAGCTGTACACCACCGTTATGACTACTTCATTACACAGCTGCACACCATCGTCATGGCTGCTTCATTACAAAGCTGTAGACCAGTCATGACTGCTTCATTACACAGCTGTACACTCGTCATGACTGCTTCATTACACAGCTGTACACCATCGTCATGGCTGCTTCATTACACAGCTGTAGACCAGTCATGACTGCTTCATTACACAGCTGTACACTCGTCATGACTGCTTCATTACACAGCTGTACACCATCGTCATGACTGCTTCGTTACACAGCTGCACACCATCGTCATGGCTGCTTCATTACATAGCTGTACACTAGTCATGACTGCTTCATTACACAGCTGTACACTAGTCTGCTTCATTACACAGGTGTACACCATCGTCATGGCTGCTCCCTTACATAGCTGTACACCATCGTCATGACTGCTTCATTACACAGCTGCACACCATCGTCATGGCTGCTCCATTACATAGCTGGACACCATCGTCATGACTGCTTCATTACACAGCTGCACACCATCGTCATGGCTGCTTCATTACGTAGCTGTAGACCAGTCATGACTGCTTCATTACACAGCTGTACACTCGTCATGACTGCCTCATTACACAGCTCCACACCATCGTGATGACTGCTTCATTACACAGCTGTACAACATCGTGATGACTGCTTGATTACACAGCTGTACACCACGGTCATGGCTGCTTCATTACACAGCTGTACACTAATCATGAGTGCTTGATTACACAGCTGTACACCATTGTCATGAGTGCTTGATTACACAGCTGTACACTAGTCATGAGTGCTTCATTACACAGCTGTACACTAGTCATGAGTGCTTCATTACATAGCTGTACACTAGTCATGGGTGCTTCATTGCACAGCAGTACACCACTGTCACGAGTGCTTCGTTACACAGCTGTACACCACTGTCATGACTGCTTCATTACACAGCTGTACACTTGTCATGTCAGTGACATGAGTGTGTGAATGAGTGAGTGAGCGAGTCGTGTGCTGATCAGGGCCCCGTTCCTCAAAGCGATCGTAGCGCTAAGGTGATCGTAACTCCCATACTTTAACATAGACTTACAACTGTCGTAGCGCTACGATCGCTTTGAGGAACGGGGCCCTGTACTTCAGTTGTATGTCCATTTCCCTTATGTTACATTACTTTACAAGTATGAAAGGCTAAAGATGTGCAGCTACTTTAGAGCGAGACACACCAGCTTGGGCATACTTATCACCTATGCCTAAACCCAGTGTGAATCAAGGGTTCATTTTCCTTCAGGCTTGTACATGGCACGATTTGGTGCAACCATTTTGATGGGGCTCAGCGTGCACAAATTGGTCTCAGACTCAGGTTATTGACAGAGTTCAGTATCAATATATGCCAAAGGATCTTTGCTCTCAACATCCACCACACAACTGTTTGAAGTCCAGACTTGATTGGTCACAGACTGCCTCATGAGCTTGAATACTGCTCAGTGCAGTCCTGTACCACAAACACAACAACTGATCTTCTCGGTGTCACACCACAGAAAACAAAACAAGAAGAAACTTTGAAAGTCAATTTTATTGGTGGCCTGACAGGTTCCTGACCAATATACGAGTCTTTCAGCACAGAATTCATTAAAAGTTGATTATGTTACATACCCTATGCTTCTCATCATGTACACAATGAGGGTACTCCCTCATACAACCAGGTCATTCAGAATCCCCCTCCCCCCACCCCCCCAACAACTCCATCTGAACATGTCTTGCTGACCTTGGGAATCGATGTCAAGGTCAATTGTCTTGCTTGCAAGTCTGACAAGGATACAGTACAAGTTTTCAATTTACATTTGAACATTTGATATGTTTTATAAATGAATTGTACGTAAGGCTTGTACCCTGTGACAGCATGACAGTTACACCCGTTCACACATACTGCACATAATGCCATAGCAACTACCTGCACACCCTACTCTCTGACTTAAACTGGCCCAATGCTTTGTTGCGGTTGAAACCAACCAATGATGTAGGTAGGGAGACTAGAATGATGGGATGAGTATTATCAAAAGTTTAAAACACTTACAGCATATGAATGAACCTCGCTATGTGAAATGCCAAAAATGAATTATACATCAAAAAATACATTTGATTCTACGCTTTAATTTGTTTAAAATGCAAGCATTCAGTAATGGCAATTGAATTAAAAACCCTGATACTAATTTTGATTAAAAACGTAAATTGGTATGTGTATGTTTAGTTTAGGGTCATGATGAAATTGGCCAACAAAAATACATTACAACAAACAATACTCTGACAACAAGATGTCATGGCTAAGCCGTTTAAATAATTCACCACAAATAAGTGTACAACTATCTTGTCTTCAGTAATATAAACATGCTAAAACACCACTGTGTGTGGGTAAAACCTCGCTGACCATTCTCAACTAAAGGGCTCTACACTGAGGCCACGTTCAAACCATAGAGGGGGGTGGTAGGTTTGACAATAAAACAGAAAAGAATAGCTCACTTTCGATGAGCAGCCCCTGAGTCAATAAGATAATCTTCAAATATTGGACAACTATGTACATATATTACATCATAACTCGTAGTTAATTAGACCTTGTGGGCCCATAGACAGTGAACAGCTCTGTTCTGTAAAGTGAATGCTTCAGTTTCTTCACGTGTTCAGATTTGTCTTTCTCAAGCCTGCAATGTTCTCACCAAATCTTTGAGCACACATTTCTCTTGGCAGTCCATGGTTTCTCATAGCACTGCCAAAGTTACCTTTCTCATGCACAATATAAAGAAAGCATCTTCAAATCTAACCACTCCAAAATCGGTTATCTTGGAGATAACAGATGTCAGTGCTACCAAAACAAATATTCTCTCTGTATCACATGATCTTTGGACATTCCAGAGTTTGTTCTGCCATTTAGTGCTTTCATTGTTCAAAGAAGCATACAGCTTGCGAAATCACAGTCAGTGCATGGTCTTTGGTTGTAGTTGAAGATGTCACAGTGACGTTGTCGAGGTCACAGTGACGTTGCAAAAGATGCCAAAGTCACATAGTTTAAAGCATTTGCCATGACTGTGGACCTTGATTGAAGCAGACTATCACCGTCTCTTTGAGTGGTACTCTTTAAGTAATTCCCTGAACGAAAGAATACAACTTTTTCCAAAGAAACTACGGAGATTGCTTCGTGTTTGCCATTTGATTGTTACCAAGCCACGTCGCCCGTAACGTCATGACAACATTTTAGCTTGGAAGTTAGTCGATCTTCTCCACTTTGGCCACAATTTTATCCTGCCACATCGGCAACACTGCATTATCGTCACCAATTTCTTCGAAAACAGCACCTTCTCCAAACTCATCACTGTCACGTTTGAAGTAGTATCTGCAAGGAAATAAATACATGACATTATAATATATTTACCTTTTCATAGGAATATAAATGTTATGAAGATGTGAACATATGTGATGGAACAGTTAAATCCTGTATTGTTTTGATGTGTTGACTCACTTGAAATTTCCCTTCTTTGTGATAAGAGTCTTGAACTGTGCAAGTGTAATGCATCGACCCGGAAACACGTGGCGGTACGGAATAGGCTCCTGCCCGAAGTAGATGCCCACAATTGTCTCGCTGGACGAAGCTGCGGAGGTACTAGTGTTCATACTTGTGTTAGGTGCAGGCGGGGGTTTCCTGTAGGTCTTTGGTCTCCTGGAAATAATTGGACTTCATAAATATATTGCTTAAAGCCAGATTCAAACTTTTAATGCATGTTTTTTAAAGCAACATGCAAACAATGCTTGTAAATTATATATTCCTTTCATGGTTGTCCTATTTCACATTTGTTCATCTTACAAACTCAATATAGGCAAAGCCTTTAACATTACTGCCTAGAATTTTTTTGGGAAGTTTTAATTCTTGCCAAAATTTTAAATTCTGTATGTACATACTCGAAAGTCTGGCTCCCTCCTGAGATGTCCAAGTCACTGGGAACAGTTTTGGCAGAAGGCATAGTGCGCATCTGGGATGCACTCTGGGATACGACAACTTTGCTCTTGTCTCGGGACGTGACTCCAGCGAAAGATCTAGAAAAGATAGAATAACATTAATATCATCTGCGCAAAAATAATGTTCTAAGGGCAGGTAACTCTGTGATAGTGTTGTCTCCCTTGCACTGGTAAACATTAGTTAACTAATACTGAGAAAATAAGATGATGCTCACAGATAAACACACAAAATACATAGATTTACATCTCATTTTCAGAAATCAGAAAAGGTATGAAAACACTTCTGAGTGTTCGGTTATCATTATGTGGCTTCTCCAATCAAAATCTATGTGAAACATGAGACTGACACTATCAACATCAACTGCCATTCTGTGACAAGCCAAATATCATAAGTTACTGATCATATTCTTTGAAATTAATCTTATCATGATTATTAAAGTGAGAAAACTGGTATTCTAGCAATGTGTGACACTCACTTTGATTTGACTGGGCCTGCAGAAGAAGATCGAACTGTGCCCTCTGCGCGTTTGCCACTGCCTGCCATGGCAGATGTCCGTGATTGGTCCTCTAACCGGCGACGAGCCTCTTCCAGCTGAGTAGTTGGGTTCGGGGGTGGGGGAAGTGGCATGGATGAGTCCTGCGCAAATGGTTGATTGGGCAAGATCTGTGCAGACTGGCCAATCGGAGTCCATGACAGCAGAGAGCTTCTTTCAACAGAAGCAGACCGACTTGTTCCGTGCCCAACCTTCTTGGAACTAAAATGAAAATTGAAAATTTCTTTCACAAAATGTTTTAACATATTTACACAAACATTTAACTCTCACAATAACCTACTAAACTGGAAAAAATTTACATCATTTTCTGCAGTCTCACCTTTGTTTGTGTGTTTGCAATGAGGCACCAGCTGATTGGTTGAGGCGATGACGTGCGTTCTTGTGTGATGATCCCTTGTCTACCTCCAGGTGGCCGATGCCAGGTTCCTGCTGACGTTCAGAGTCCATCATCCACTGCATAACCCTGGGAGAGAGAGTCAAATATTTATTCACATGCAGTTTGGAATAACACTACGCACAACGATAGTCACACAGCAGACTCAGCTATTGGGTGGGGTTTTGAAAAACCAGCATGGCGTCATACCCACTTGGACAGAAATGTTCTTGCTTGCAACGGAGTGTCAGTATGACCTCGTATATACCCTAAAAGTATTGAATAACCTGAATATACAACGATACATTCACAGCAGACTCAGCTAATAGGTGGTTTTTTTGTTGTGGATTTTTTTGTGTGTGTGCGTGTGTTTAATTAAAAAAAAGGCAGCATTTGATTGCAAAATGTTATACACAAAACGTAATTTGTTGTAATTATTGAAGTCCTTCCTCGTCGGACTACAAAGACCCGATCCCCTCCCCAGAGACCTGTGACGCCCCGGTATGTCTATGTCGTTTCTCTGTCACAAACACTCTCGGAAACGCCTTCACGGTACATTGTGTGTGTATAGAGATGTTGGGTTTTGTACATACTTGCTCATTTTTTTGTTTATAAGATTTTGCAATCAACAGACATTATAACATGTCATGTGTTCAACTATCACACCTGCCTGTCTGTGTAATTACATAATGTGACAGAGACCGAACTCGGGCCATAAATCAATGCATTTTGTTTATGGTGTATAGCCTGATTGGTGTTAAGTTCAAATTGCATGTGGTCAGTGATAGCAGCTGTGTATTGAATACTGTCATTAGCAGACAGGCAGGCAGACACACAGGTGTCAATAAAACAAGACATTGAGTTTTGTCTGTGACAACGACATATCTATATCACAGTTAGAAATTCTGTCAACGCTAAATAATGACATTGCTTTTAAGTATCGAACTGAGAAAGTGTCTCGGTAAGAAGAACGTGTGGTGAAATAGACAAATGAAATTATATAAACAGTTAATTTATAGTCATAACATATAAAAAGCGCCTGTGAGATATCAACAAAACATTAGAAAAATAGCTCACACCAAAGCCTTCACCGAATATTCACCCGACAACCCGCTTCCAACCTGCGCGAACCTATTTACTTGCGCACGTGCTATGAGCGCAGCCCAGCTGTTGAAACCCGTTTTCCCCAGAAAAGTCTGGGGAAAATTAGTGAAACGTTTGAACTCCGATTTCGCGCGTTTTTTTTCATCGCGTTATTTTTCAACTTTATAAGTTGAATTTGCATTTTTGCCGATTTGTTTCGGTCAGTCCATACCGAAAGGTATCAGAATCTGCAAAGTTGTGTTTTACGTTGCATGTGACCTTTAAGGAGAGACAGTCTACAGGATCAACGGCTGCAGTATCGAGGAAGAGGAAATATTGGAGTGAGTGAGTTTAGTTTTACGCCACACTGAGCAATATTCCAGCTATACTGAGGCGGTCTGTAAATAATCGAGTCTGGGCCAGACAATCCAGTGATCAACAGCAAGAGCATCGATCTGGTTAATTGGAAACCGATGACATGTGTCAACCAAGTCAGCGAGCCTGACCACCCGATCCCGTTAGTCGCCTCTTACGACAAGCATAGTCGCCTTTTGTGGCAAGCATGGGTTGCTGAAGACCTATTCTACCCCGGATCTTCACGAGTCAGGAAATATTGGATGATGACATGGTGTGAAAGTAGAAGTAGGACCTATTGACACAAACGGCAGAGATGACGGTAGAGGTACTCATGCAAGCATCGTAGAAGTAGGGAGAATGAACAAACTGATCTCTATCTTGAGGGGTCATTACACTGGGAAGTATTATATCCTTGGGGGTGCTGAATCGGAAGGATTGGCAAATGAGGGAGTGAGTGAGTTTAGTTTTACGCCGCTTTTAGCAATATCACGGTGGGGGGCACCAGAAATGGGCTTCACACATTGCATCGAACCCGGGTCTTCGGCGTGACGAGCGAACACTTTAACCACTAGGCTACCACACCGCCCCTGGCAAATGAGACGAGAGATCAACTAATCTGGAGGGTAAGCCAAAGTCGTCATGACTATGTTTGAAGCAACTGACGGGATGGGTGTCCAAGGGTCGGTCGGCACCGAAGCTCATGGCTACGGTATGAGTCAGAAAAGGATCCTCCAAGAAGGTATCTTAGAGAGGGATCGGTGAAGCTGACGTCTGCTTCCATTTTTTTTATAGAAACTCATCTGTACGTGACAGTGTGCGAAATAATTTCCAAATTTTGCTAGCCAGTCGGGCTAGATGTGCCTGAAAGTTACTAGCCCACAAAATAATTCACTAGCCCGAAATTTGAATGTAGACACAGGTTTCATCATTAAGCTGCTAATATGATGAATATTTTCATCAGGCCATAATCTTGCATGACTTACAAGTGTATTATAACTTAGCAAGTCGGAAGGAGTTATATACATTGTACATGTATTTACAAAATGACACCAAGAAAAGTCACTGGCCATTCGGGCTGTGAAGATTTGCTGGCTCGACTGGAATTTTACTAGCCACGGGATAGCAGGCGAGTGGCTATTTCGCACACCGTGTACGTGGCGTGTAGTCTTGACGTGAGCAGGTTTTTCTGTATTGTTTCAAACTGTTGGTCATCCGGGTGGCTGCAAGAGTTAAACCAGATGGATCAGCTGTAGATGCCGAGGTAGTAAATCCAAGATGAGTGCTGGTGATGAGATGAACATGTCTGTTTGCATCTAATACAAACCTTCCTCTTCCTTATGGAATCCTCTTTCCCTATACGTTGTTCTTAAGTGATTCAAGGAGAATATTAACTCCACATTATTTTTTCATATACAGAGAACAGAAGTCCGTAAAAAAATATACATAAATATGTATGTATGTATGATGCATCTCATTGTACTCTCCTTTGGAGGAATAAAAGCTGTCGTCAGGCTGTGGTCATAATATACTTCAACAGATCGTTCCAGAACCTAGTAAACCAGAACAGCTGGACATAAACATACATTACGACAGTCACAGTAAATCTGTGCGAGAAGGGGTGAACTGGGCATCGAAATAGCAAGGGCAACTCCTTCATTGTTTGAATGTCTTTATTTTCTTCTGTTAATTGTAAATTGATGATTGTGTTTACAGACGAAAGGATAGACTTGCACAAGTCTCTAAGGTTATACTTAATAGTTTAAATGATAATTTCTAAAAACATGTAAATACCACTCTAACAGACTGGCGTCCTTACTGTCTGATTATATAGACTTGTCTCTTTAAACGATAAAATTACAATACATCCATGGGCTCAGCCTTCAGTACAGCCTTGGGGCAAGGCTAACGAAAGGACACCTTTCACAAGTATCTACTGTATGTTATGTTCAGCCTCGAGCAACAGCCAGTTGGCACAAGTAGAAAATCAGAACGTATGTGTATCGGTTGTAAGTATTAAAAGACTAACTTTCGTCAAAATGTCTCTTCAAATGTTTTGACGTCCCAGCGTTACTCAACCAATGACTGTGAGGTACCTAGTCTCTTATGCTCTCTCAACAAGCGCATCCAATCCAGCTCATGCAAGTCGATAACAGTTCGCCAGTCTGGATATCTGCACTTCTGCAAATGAAGAGAACATCTAGGTTCGTTTTTACTACATTCATAAAGATAATTTGACAACTACTTTTCAGTAAATTATTTCAGAAAGTACATGTTGGTCTTTAAGATTTGTGTATTTTCAGGCTGCTGTAACTACATGCAAACAGTGTCGATATCTCGTGGCCATCATTTAGGCATCAGCATTGTCCATGAACTAAGTTGTCCACAAGAAGTAATAAAGCTGAGTTTAGATGGAATTGTTTATTTTCTTATTAGCTCTCAGTGGCACTCTAAACACAGGGTTTTACTGTGTCTTACAACTGTGGGGTTTCAGGTGACCCCATCAATATGTTTTACGGGTCCTTGCTGGTGATATTAGCAGTGTTTGCAATACTTTAATCTGCCAGTAATTGGCCATCAGGACCTGCTGCCGTCTGCAGGCTTAAAAAATCTACAGGCCCTGAATGAAATCTGCAGACAAATTTTGTTAAAGTCAAACCAATAAAAACAAAATAGACTACACTGTACAGTTTCACATTGTTCCTACAAAATCAAGTAACGAAGCCTATGGCGCAGAGAGGCGTTTTTATTTGTTAAAGACTGGTGTTGACAATCCTATGCGCAAAGCGCTGAAATACCAGGAAGTGAAACAGTGAGTTATCGTATCATAATGGATCATGGATGATTCCCGAACGTTAATAAAGAAAACAAAAGAGGGAAAGATTCGAGTTGAAAAGAACACAGATAATTTACCGAAGGCCACAAGGAAACTGCTGGCCCGATACAATAACAACCGGCGGTGGGCCTCCGGGCCAGCGATTATTTCGAACGGTGAATATCAGAGTCCTGTAAAGTGTTGAAATGGTCTAGTGTTCGTTCAGATAATTACTCCAGAGTCTGGAATGAATCGGTGGTCACGTGGACAGTGGTCATGAGTGCTGGGTGAAATACCAGACACAGATGACTACTCTTGATACACTGGGGGTACGTTCTTGGTATTTTTGTGCGTTTCTCCGGATGCAGTATTTGGGGTTTTCTGCGTCCATTCTCTACATTTGTGCGTGACGTAAAACTCTGAAACATATCCTCCATCCTGGCGGACGGGCGTCTTAAATATTCTACGAGAGAAAACTCAACGGCATTATCAAGCGGTTATACAGATTTAAGATAACAAACGTATAATATCTCAATAGACTCAACGGAATCTACTAATTTGAAGCCTTCCTTCACGCCATCTAAAATGTAGTCCCTGTCTACATCATCAGGGGGTGACAGTTCACTCAACGCCTCATCACTTAGTAGTGAGGTTGTTTAATCAAGTTTTTTTACTCATTCCAGTCCTGAGCTCTTGATACATATGGCTAGGTTTGTGTGTGAGGCTGGGTTTGTGTGGGAGTCTGGGTTTGGATGTATGGCTATGGCTGTGAGTGATGGGTCATACCATGTCCACGCTTCCCACAAACACCACACACATGAGCCATACGACACTGGTACTCCAGAAAACAGTTAC